TCTGTTTATTCTTGGGGCAAACGGGGTGGGAAAGTAGGGGGTAGAACAAGCACGCTCCCCCTTTTAAAAAAATTTAGGGAGGGGGAAAGGGAGGGAGAAAGAGAGGGAGAGAAACCTCCATGTAAGAGAGAAACACTCATTGGTTGCCTTTCTGCAAACACTCCAGGGATGGAGCCAGGAGCCCACAACCCAGGCATGTGCCTGACTGGGAATTGAACCAGTGACCTTTCAGTTTGCGGGACGACGCCCAACCAACTGAGCCACACTAGCCAGGGCCCAGCCAGACTCTTGAGCCCCCAAAAACCCTAGATTCTAGAATTTCTTGGAGAACAGTGTCCCCATCTCAGGAGCCTAGACCATTTGCCCTGAATTTTGAGGATGGTTACCCTCTGTCCAGAATGAACACGTCTGGTAACATCAGTCCAGCTGACAAAAACTACACTTCTCGGGATTGGCCTGGAGGTGGCGCCCATGCTGTTGGTCTGGAACCTCCGGACCAAGGCTCAGGTGGGTCTGATGAGGTCATCAAGGGAAAAAGAATGCCCAGCGGGCTAGGTTGGACCCTTTTATCAGGCCCTGGAAGAGAGCGGGCCATTGCCCAATGCTAGGGGCACTGCCATGTATTCCAACTGCTCAGGACTTATATTGAGATAGGGTTTTTAACTGCCATCCCTGGAGATACAAAATTATTTGGGTTTTAAATACTACACCCTGATTTCTTCATAAAGCATTTTAATGGGGTGATAAACACACAATATAATATACAGATGACGTATTATAGAATTGTACCCCTAGAACCTATATGATTTTATTAACCAATGTCATCCTGATAAATTCAATTAACAAATTCAAATCTATCCTTACTACCAATCCTTCCATGACAGTTAAAAAATTCTGATCAGTATATACTCAAGTGTTTTTATAAGGCAAAGATACATCCACTATCTTAAAAAAAAAAAAAAAAAAAAAAGCCCTGGCTGGTATGACTCAGTGGATTGAGTGCTGGCCTGTGAACCAAAGAATCGCTGGTTTGATTCCCAGTCAGGGCACATGCCTGGGTTGAGGGCCAGGTCCCCAGTAGGGGGTGCGTGAGGGGCAACCACACATTGAAGTTTCTCTCCCTCTCTCTCTCCTTTCCCCTCTCTCTAAATATAAATAAATACAATCTTTTTTAAAAAAGGATTGCAAGCAGAACCAGATTGAGGGTCTTATAATACTTTCATTTCCACTTGTCCTGCAGCCTGGCCAGGCCCCTCCTCAGTTATGCTGAGCCCAGGGTCCCCTAGTGGAGGGTTCAGGAAGGAGGCAGAGCTGCAGGCAGTCTGAGGCCCCTTGCTAGATTCGTTCACTTCTGGGCCACTGCTCTGGCCATGGGATTCCGTCTATGTAAATAGGCCTAGGCATATCTGCAAGAATGCCTTCTGCTCCTTGCCTCTGTGATCTGGGACTAGTTTTCTGAACATGACACAAGGCAGAGAATCAGCAAAGCAAGACATAGTCCTGGTTTAAGACTACAGTGGCCCTGGCTGAAGGCAGAGCCTAAGAAATTAGGTCCAGCCTGGCCATGGCTGCCGTTAAGGGCAATCTACTGTGTGTGGGTGTAGGGGTGTGTGTGTTCCTAGGGCAGGGCAAAGCAGATGTCCCTTTCTTCCATCTCAATTCATGGATACAGTATCCCAGCCAAGGTGTGGGAAGCTTTCCTCCCTACCCACCCCCACCAGCCTCTTATTTATTTTATGCCTTCAGTATCAGTTGGCAAATGAGCCCCATGTTCATTTACCACCTCCCCTTCCACTAGAAAAAGGTCATTCATTTAATGATCAAGCTAACATAGATTCGCTTTTGAGTAAAGCAAATACATTTTTAATAAAATTCCGAATCTCCTAAGACGTTGGCTTTATAGCTTCTGGCTGAGAAAGCGGTGTCTGTGAGGGCGAGAAGATAATGAAGGGGCTGAGAGTACTTGGGGTAGCTTTTGTCGATCGAGAAATAAAAATATTCTGTCCCTATAGGGCTCAGGGGAAATGACCCGTCAGGAAGACTCACTGGAGCTTTGAAAATCCTGTGCTTGCTTCAATTCCTGTTTGCTAGGGCTGTTCAGGGAGCCACGAGGACCCAGAGAATTAACTCCAGGACAATGGACACCCAGTTCAAAAAACAGATTCTGTGTCACTTCCCCCCAGAAATGAAATTTGTTTTCTATGCCCAGGCCAGCAGGAGCTGCGACTCCTGAATGGGATGCATGTGGTGGGGAGGATCAGAGGCCACTCTGTTTGGGTGACTGTCCCGGCAAGCTGAGAAAAACGACATCGGGTATGGCCGAAGGCTGGCAGTTGGCTGCTTCCAGGATGGGTGTGCTCAGTGGCCTCTGAGGACTCAGGAATAAAGGAATAAAAATCACCATGAATATTTGAAAGCATAAAGACTTTATTTTTCAAGCAAAGCAATGCTAGTTTAAAATGTGTGCCTCTTCCCAATTTGTTTTATTCCTACTGTTTTAAAAAAAAAATCCTTTCATTCTCTTCACTCAGAATGAGGTAAGTAATTGATTTCCTTATCAAGATGCTGGGCGATACATTTTCACGCTTTCAGGGCGCACAGCAAATCTACAACCATTGTCTGGGAGACGCAGCTTCTAGCTGCAATCATTTTTATCATCAGGTAAACCGACCCGACCAGTGCATGTTTTTCAAATTTTCTAAGTGTTGTCTTTTACTGGTCGAGTAAATGATAACATTTTTTTACTTAGTGACTGTGTTATCCAAAAAGAAGAAAAGAATTTTTTAACAATGATCAAAATAAAGCTTGTTAGATGATTTTCAATGGTAATAAATTGGTTCCTGGAGATCTGATTAAAGAGAAAACCAGACCAGTTGAAGCAGAGTCCAAATGAGACAGAGCAAGTCCATAAAGGGAGGGGTGGGGGTGCCAGGGGCGGGGGCAGGACGCTGTGGAACCAGAGACACAGTAAAAGAGAAAAAAATTAAAAGTATTAAAATCACAAAGAAAAGAAAATCAAATCATCTTGCATATTTGCTGTGGAGAGTTACTATACACACATGCACACACACAAATGTTAGAAAAGGAACTAGAAATTTTACTGCAGTAATTGCTAATAATAGTATCTGTTGAAAGTACCTTTGTTGCTGATGGGTGAGAGGAGATGATTAAAGAAGACTTAAGGCATATCTGTAATCTTCCCCCCATTCCTTGTACCCCTTATATAGTTTTTATTAATTTTCATTCTGATACAATTCACATACCATAGAATTCATCCTTGAAAATAAGTATACCATTTAGTGGGTTTGAATATATTCAGAAGTTAGTGCAACCATTACCACTATATAAGAACCTTTTCGTCACCCTGAAAAGAAGCCGGGTAACCATCGGCAGTTACTTCCCATTCTCCCCTCGCCCATCCCCTGGCAACAATTAATCTACCTTCTGTCTCTATGAATTTGCCTATTTATTTCATATCAATGAAACCATACAACATGTGGTCTTTTAGGTCTGGCTTCTTTCACGAAACATAACTTTTCATGGAAAATAGACATAAATAAAACCCATTTATCATTTTCAAGTGTACAGGGCAGTGGCATGAGGTGTGTTCACACTGCTGTGCCACCATCCCCACCATCCATCTCCAGAAATTTCTCATCTTCTCAAACTGAAACTCCGAACTCATTAGAGAGTAACTCCTTCCCCCAACCCCTAGCAACCATTCTGCTTTCTGCCTCTGTGGATTTCATTACTCTAGGGATCTAGTGTGAGTGGAATCATCTAATAGTTGTGCTTTTGTGTCTGCCTTACTTCACTTGCCATACATAATGTCCTCAAGGTTCATCCATGTTGTAGCATGTGTCAGCATGTCCTCTCCCATTTTTAAGGCTGAATAGTATTCCATTGTGTGGACAGACCACTGATGACCAGCCATTCATTCATCAGTTGATGGACATCGGTTGTTTTGGCAATTATGAATGACACTACTATGAACATCCAGGTACTAGTTTTTGCACAGACATGTTTTCACCTCTCTTGGCTGTATACCTAGGGTTAGAATTGCAGGGTCACGTGGACTCTCACATTTAACCTTTTGAGGAGCTGCCAGAGTGTTTTCTGCAGTGCCGCACCATTTTACATCCTTACCAACAGGGTATAGAGTTTCAAATTTCCCCGCATTCTCACCAATACTTGTTATGACCCTGCCTTTTCCAAACTTACAGCCATCCTAATGGATGTGAAACGTCATCTTACCATGGTTTAGATGTACATGTTTTATTTTAATTTTTTAAGTTAGAAGAATATGCTAATCATTTTCTTGTATAATTAATAAAATAATTAGCCCTGGCTGGTGTGGCTCCATGGATTGAGTGCTGGTCTGTGAACTAAGGAGTTGCTGGTTCAATTTCCAGTCAGGGCTAAAAATAAATAAATGAGATCTTTAAAAAAATAAAATAAAATAATTATTTTAGAAAAGAATTGCATGACTAACATACACTGGGATGTAAAGGAAAAACACATGTAAGGCGCCATTGCTGCAAATATATTATTCACTTCGCTGATGAATTGAAGGGTAAGCCAGAGAGGGGTCTGGGCTGACGTCACTGAACTGATTGTGTTCTTCCCAGAAGGATGATGGGATGGTGGAGACTTAATCTCCACAGACTTAAAAGACAACAATCAAAAGACAAAATTTTAAAGAATTTTCTATGTTACCAAGTCTTGTGTTAAATGCTTTGTGTGTATTTTCCCATTTAATCCTTAAAGCAATCTATGCAATCTATTTTCATTTTCATTTTACAGCTGAGAGAGCTAAAGCTCAGCAAGGTAGACGATGATGTGAATTATACTATGATGTGGTAGCCCCAGGACTGAATTCAGACCTGATTCCTGACTGTTAACTTTGTAAAATATCATTGCACTTTCCCTGTACTTCTCAGTGTTCTCTCATTAGTAAAACAATATGTAATAATGAAATCATAATTATTATGACCACTAACCTTTATTAAGTGTTTGCTGAATTCCAGGCACTGTGCTGGGCTCCTTCTGCGCATGATGTTATTTACTACCCGCAGCAGCGCTATACTCTAGCGGGTACTGTAATCATTTGCATTTTCCATATGACAAAACAGTAGCCAAGAAACCTGGCCAGGATCACAGAAGTGTACTAACCAAGTAAGTCCTATTTTTTCCTAAACATGCTTGGTCCACTCTGTCTAGAACTTTCTTCCCCAGATCTTCACATGGATGGCTTCTTTAAAGTTCAGGTTTAAGCTCAAATGTCACCTCCTCACAGAAGCCTTCGCTCCCCACCCTATACAAAGTAGCACTGTATGTCCTGCCAGCATATAATAGGGGTGCGATGAATATTTATTAGCTGAAGGCATGCCATGGATATCTCCACCCGCTAAGTCTGCTTCCCCATCCCTGCGGTTCAGAATAGCTTGTCTGCTATTCTTAAGCCCTCCTCTGCCCCGCTAATAATGCCTCCTTCTCTGAGCAAATCCGGCAGGAGACGTTGTGGCCCTGAATTAAGCAAAAATCATCATGAACATATCTTAAAAGTTGTGTAGTGACAGTGGTTTCAAATCCTGCCTCCATCCTGCATTAGCTGTGTGACCTTGGGCAAATTATGTAACCTCTGGGCTCTGCTTTCCAGAGAAGAATACATCCCCCCAGAGGTATGTGTAAATGGGATAATGCCTCAAAACGTGTACACTTACTCATCGACATGTTAAATTACTATTGAAAAAATCTTTTTTTTTTAAATAGATCTTCATAATTCTTTTTTTTTTTAAAGATTTTATTTATTTATTTTTAGGGAGGGAAGGGAGGGAGGAGAAGAGAGAGAGAGAGAGAGAAACATCAATGTGCGGTTGCTGGGGGTTATGGCCTGCAACCCAGGCATGTACCCTGGCTGGGAATCGAACCTGCGACACTTTGGTTCCCAGCCCGCGCTCAATCCACTGAGCTACACCAGCCAGGAGATGAAAAAATCTTAATACTGGAAAAAAACTTTTAGCATAAAGATGTTAATGAAGTGTTATAACAGGAAAAACTTGAAAACAAACTCAGAATCCTTTTGATGCGATACTACACAGACATTAAACTGAAAATGTGCCCTGGTTGGTGTGGCTCAGTGGACTGAGCGCTGGCTTGCAATCGGAAGGGTTTCAGGTTTGATTCCTGGTCGGGGCATATGCCTGGGTTGCAGGCCAGGTCTACAGATGGGGGTGTGTGAGAGGCAACCGATGGGTATTCCTCTCTCTCTCTTCCTCCTTCCCTTCCCCTCTCTCTAAAATAAATAAATTAAATAACATAAATAAATCATGGGAATGTACTGTAGATGCACAGACAAGAGAACCCTAGACAAAATTGTAGTGTGGTGTCATCTTGCCTATGTAAATACCTCGCCAAAGTCCTGGGGCCTCCCCAACCTGTGGGTTGAAGTGAGACCACATCACCTTGTACCCAAATTTTTGTGTCTTGACATCGCCTTGTACCCAAATGTTTCTGTCTCATTGCCCCCACCTGCTCCTGCAGACCTCTGCAGAGGCCCCGGGGGCCCTCGGGAGTGGCTCGAGCATGTCTGCTCCTCCCCCGCCTCGGCCCCAGTGTTCAGAACACATCTGGACTCCACAGACCCAGCCGCTCTTTTTCCAGGCCTTTGCCTTTTCCAGTCCTTCACAAAGGACACCTCCCTGTGGGGGGACCAACCACCTGGTTTGCCTGGACCTGAGAGGATTCCTGGGATGTGGGACTTTTAGCACTAAAACTGGAGAAAAGTCCTCGGGGAAACTGGGCTAAGTTGGTCATGCTTATCTCACTACACAAGGTAGTGCCAGAACCGCAGGGTTTTAGGTCTTCAAAACGGGTTGCTTTCTCAGCTGGAGCCAGACTGTTTTTCTCCCAAAATAAGGACTGATGGATTGCACAGCAGACTAAGTGAGCAGAATATCTGTGTTTGAATTCACACTTCTACCTGTGGTACCAGGGAAGTCAGAAAACTAGTCAAAAGGATGCTGAGAAACAAGTGACCAGCGCACAGGTCTGGACGAGAGGTGGTGGTCTGAGGAACACGAGCTCAGCAGGGGGCAGCTTAAGTCAGGGAAGCAGGCTAGAGGGTCCTGGAGATGTGCAAGGGGGAGGGAACCTGAGGCTATGACATTTGAGCCAACAGGTAGAAGGAAATCTGTCCACCAGAGAAACTGGGGGGAATGGCCAAAGAGACAGGAGGGGAACTAGGATTCGAGGTTTGTAGGTTTGGGGCAGTTTCTTCAGTCTGTCCTTGGTTTCCCTTTGGCTATGCCGTCCCCCAAAGCCAGTACTGATACTCACTTATTCTCTATGTCATTGAGTAGCCTTCTCTTCCTCTTCTTCTATCTCCTGAAATGGAGGTGGCTCCCCAAGAACTGTGTGACATATACTCTCTCTCTGTACTCTCTTTTTTTCTTAAACGAATGTATTTTTTTAAATATTTTTTATTCACTTTTAGAGAGGGAAGGGAGGGAGACAGAGAGAGGGAGAGAGAGAGAGAGAGAGAGAGAAACATCAATGTGCGGTTGCTGGGGGTTATGGCCTGCAACCCAAGCATGTACCCTGGCTGGGAATCGAACCTGCGACACTTTGGTTCCCAGCCCGCGCTCAATCCACTGAGCTACGCCAGCCAGGGCTCTGTACTCTCTTCTGTAATACTTTGATTTATCCACATGGCTGCCATTTTCATGTCAATGAGATTGTGTCCCAAATTATACCTCCAGTTGCAGTTTCTCCAGAGCTTCAGTCCATATTTCAAAGTGTCTCCTGGGCATTTCCACCTCATTTCCCCATCAAGAAGCCAAATTCAGCACACTTAAATATGTAACATAGCAGGATCATAATCACAGACGTTACCATTGGCGGGACCCATGGAGGTGATCTAATCCAGACCTGCCCAATTAGCAACGGCACACACTAGTGCACAGTGAATGAGATATGGGCGGGTGGGGGTGGGTGGGGCCCTCTGCCCAGTTACCCCTGTTCATTATGGCCTCCTCCTCTGACTGCCCTAAGAGAGTGGGGTCTGATTGCGAGCAAGAGGCCACCATTGACAGCCAGGTGCAGACACATCATTGTTTGCATGGTGATGCTAGAGGAGTTTCTGTCTCAGGGACCCAAGGAGTCTGAGGAGCAATCTGTTGGGGAGGGAGGTGTGAATGAGTGAGTGAGCATCTGCGGTGGGTGTTCTGGTGCAGGCAGCTCAGAAACTCCACCTTTACATACTTTCATATTAGATAATTTTGTCTGTAGCCAATGTGCCACAAATGATGTCCCAACTGGGGGAGGGAGGGGTGACTGTGCTGTAGATTAGAACTTCATTGTTATTCTGAAACACAAGCTATGAAAAAGTTTGGCTCTAAAATCCACAAGAAATTTCATAAGCATATTTTTCAATGAAAGAAAAGTAAGAGTTCTGCATATAACTTAAATATAATTCCTAATGTTGTAAGTGTTTGAATGGTTATAAAGATGGTTTAAGATTTTTTTTATCAATTACTGCTGTAGACGGTTTCTTGTTGTGTAAGCGATCATTGTGCCCTGACCTGCGTGGCTCAGTTGGTTGGCACCATCCTACAAAGCGAAAGGTCACTGGTTTGGCCCCCCAGGTCAGGGCTTGTGCAAGAGGTAACCAATCAGTGTTTCTCTCTCACATCGATGTTTCTCTCCTCCTCTTTCTCCCTCCCTTCTGCTCTCTGTAAAAATAAATAAATAAAATCTTTAAAAAAAAGCGATCATTGTTAAAGAGTCTCAATCAAGAATGGCATGAGCTGTGTAAAACACAACACTGGGAATATAAAGTTAGGTGCCAGGATTCAAGTTCGAATTTCTCATTTAATAAAAAGGGGATTTCTGGAAAGTGTTACAAATTCACTATTTACTATCTTGTCTAATGCTATATAATTTATTTTCATTTTTATGATAATTGCATTCTATAAGGAAAACATTTTAATCTCCTAGGCAGAAGAATTCCAAATAGTTTGTGTAGATGCTCTGCCTTTGGGGAGGTGGAGCATCACTCCCCGGTCCTTAAACATGGGCTGCCTGTACAATGACATCCTTCCAGAGAACGCACTGTGTGTGTGTGTGGGGGTGGGGGCATTAACTCTACAGTGCAGAAGCCTGTCAAGTACTACCTTAGCCAGATGATCAAGGTCAACATCAGAAGTAATAAGTCACGCTGATAGGACCTACCCTTGATATGATGTGATGAGAATGGTGCTTCAGCTCTGTAATCTTTCTCCCCCCAAAATCCATAACCCAAGTCTAATCATGAGAAAAACTTCAGACAAATCCAAACTGAGGAACATTCTACAAAATATCTGACCAGTACTCCCCCAAACTGTTAAAGATCATCAAAAACAATGGGGGGCAGGAAGGTAAAAAAGAAAACCTTTTATTTCGACCACATCTCACATGCCCTTCTATGTCTCTAGTTTTCACAGGCTGCTATAATATGAATGGGCTGGAAAGCAGGGCTCTAAACCAGCCCCCATAACTTATTTGTGAGGAACCTGGGCTAAGTCAGGGTTGGGTGACCTAAGGTCGCAGAGCCAGTCACTTCCTTCCTAAACTGGAGCCCCTGCTGACTTTCTGAGTCTTAACTGTAGGTCTGTGGTACATCGCTCTCCAGGTTACCCGAGTCTAAGTCAATTCACGTTGACTTCTCTGTGTGTGTGGCTCGTACCCCATCTGATCTATGCCCCTTCCCAGACTGCAGGAATCTTCCACATGATGGGAGCTCAACGGCCAATATTCACCATCCTGGCCTCCCCTGCAGCTAGACCCCGGATCGGGGCACATCCCCCTCCGCCTTTGAACTGGAGGCGAGCAGCGCTATGGAGCAGTGCCCAGTGTGTGTGGTGTTACCAGGACAAGCTGGGCCTTGTGCCAGGAGTGACAGCATGCTGTCCTCACTTGTTTTGTAGCTTGATTTTGGACACTTCCTGGTTGCAAGCCTCAAAGCCTGGTCCTTGGGCACTCCCAGAGATTCTGTGAGCTTAATGCGGGCAGCATTGGTTTCTGTGGCTCGTAACCAGGAACCAAACTGATAAAAAAGAATTGGAACCAAAATGGCTGTAGGCCACAGGCTCTCAGGGTAATAGGGTGGGGGTGGTCTGTGGCTGGCTCTCTAGTTTTTTGAGGCTGAAGGTAGAGGAAATGCATCTCGAATTGAGGTGTGAGACTGAAACACCCCATATTAACTTGCTGCTAAACAATTTAACAAAATACCCCATGTCACCTGGAATTCAAAACAGGTCTTAAGAAGAGTGAGTGGCTGTAGCCATAGGACTATAATGGATGTGAGGAATTCAAGGACTGTGGGGTGCGGTGGTTTCTATGTGCTGCTTTAACCCATTTTCCAAGTGACCTGACAGCTTCCTAACATTGAGCCACAGCACAGAGCAGGAGGAGGTTCTTCAGCAGGTCCCAGTTTAAGGGCAAGGGGCTCTGCTGATTGGTCCTCAGATCCCTGTGGATCCAGTGGTGTGCTGTGTGCAGCCCCAGGCTGGAACGCTGTACCAGAGTCCATGGCCAGTCACCCACAGAGCATCACAATGGTCGAGCTTAGGATTCTAGAGCACAACCTTGCTCTCTTTGCCTAATAACTATTCTTTTTGGAAACTGTTCTGGAATTGCTCCTGGGCCCTTCCAAAGATTGAAAGCCTGACCATGGAGTTCCAGATGACTGTGTGATCTATGTAGCTTATCATGAACTAAGTATCTGTCCACTTAACCTTAAAGTACCCAGTAGCACTCCCTTCCCCGAGAAGACATGGAATATGGAAGAGCAGATCTGAGCAGGTCTTGAGGAGGTGCAAACATACAATACCCAGTGCATATACTCCTGTTTTACTGCCTCCCCTCCCTCAATTCACGACCTTATGGATAATTCCCATGAGCAGGTGACTAAGGAAGACAACATCTGAGCTTGGTTTACAGATGGCATCCTCTGGGGGCAGACTGCTAAGGTGTTACAGCTACACTGGGCAAGGACTTGAAAGGACAATGGCAAAAGGAAGTCGTCTTCTCAGTGGGCGGAGCTTTGAGTTGCACTCTCATGGTTCTTTTTGCCTCTTGAAAGACTGTAGCAATTCGTGAGCCAGGTGGTCAAGGACTTATATTGGTGAAAAGGAGGTTTGGGAGAGAGGACGTAGATGAATGTCTCTGAACAGACCTAGAGAGTATTTGTGTTCTGAATGAATATTTATCAAAATTTCTCCACTGCTAAAGAAGCTTTAATAAGTTAGTGGACAAGAAGACCCACCCTGCCTTGGCCAGGTAGCTCAGTGGGTTAAAGCATTGTCCCATTACACTAAGATTGCGGGTTGATCCCCATCATGGACACATGAGAATCAACCAATGAATGCATAAATAAGTGCAACAACAAGTCAGTGTTTCTCTCTGTCTCTCTCTGAAAGAAAAAAGAAAGAAAGAAGAAAATAAAAATGAAAATAAAATAAAATAAAATAAAATAAAATAAAGAAAGGAAGGAGAAATGACATTCTGGCTGATGTGGTTCAGTGGATCGAGTGCCTGCCTGTGAACCAAAGAGCTGCTAGTTTGATTCCCTATCAGGGCACATGCCTGCGTTTTGGGCCAGGTCCCCATCAGGGGGTGTGCGAGAGGCAACCACAAATGGATGTTTCCTTCTCCCTCCCTTCCCCTCTTTCTAAAGATGAATAAACAAATTCTTAAACAAACAAACAAAAAAATAAATGAAAGAAAAGAAAGGATCCACCCTATAGATGTAGGGCAAACTCTTTTCCTAGTCAAGCCAGTGCCTACTTATTGGGGTCATGAGCTCATCTGGGCTTCTCCTTGGTGAGGCTTACCTGGCTATTGCCGCTACTGAGTGCCAATTTTAGAATTAATCATTATAATGGATTCTGCCTATCGGGGTGTGGTGGTGGGTACAGTGAGTCAATCACATCAGGAAGTTTATACTGTTGTTTTTGTTTTTGGTTTTTTCTGGCTGCTTGTTTATTTTCCACTTGGTGCAAGGCACATGGTTATGGGGTGTCAGGAAGGCTTGAGTGTGGCTTGGGTAGTTAAGAGTGGGGCTCTCTCAACTTCCTTTTTTGGTGTTTTGCTCTTTTGATATAGAACCCAACTGCTTCTGCTTGCTGCAGGCTGCCTAATCTATGGGGTGGGGTGAGGAGGGGGAAAGGGTTAGAGAAGGAGGGATTGGAGGTGGGGGGACTCAAAAGAGCCTAGCACTTTCTGGAAGCTTGGTGGCTGGTGGCGGCCACTCAGGGTGGGGGGGGCCCAGTGTTGACTTTGTTGGGCTGCCTGCCAGGTGGGTTCTTCACAGCTTCCCAAGTCAGGTCACAGGTGGCTGTGCTGCTGGAGGCCTTTTGAATGCTCTGGGGACTCTATCACTGTGGCCATGGACAAGAGCGTGGACTTCCTGAAAAAGCAGCTCACCCACCAGTGACCCGGGTCAGCTTTGAGGAGACCAGGGTGGTGGGGGATGGCTTCCCCAGGGAGCCCAGGAGGCACTGGTCATAGTCACGGGTAGCCACGGGCGGGAAAGCCGCTGGAGGGGATGGCTGCCATGTGTCTGCTTGTGGACTGATGGAAACCTCCGCAGTGACCCCTTGTGGGCCTCAGCACGTGACCATGGATGGTAGGAATGGGAGCGCTGGGACATGGAGCCCATTTGCAGAGGTGGCATGGGAGGCTGATCTATGACCTAGGTGTGTAGGATCAGTTTATACTGAATTTGGATGGCTTTTGCCACCAGCCATGCTTTTATCATCATCATGTTACATGGGTTTACTGAATACTTTATTTGCCATCATGGTGTCTTACACATCATGGCTGGCACCTGTCTTAGCCAGTTCAGGCTGCTGTAACAAATTACCAAAGTCTAGGTGGCTTATAACAGAAATTTAGTTGCTATAACAAACTACCACAGCTTGGATGTCTTTTAAACAATAGGAATTTATTTCCTACAGTTCTGGAAGTTGGAAGTCTGAGATCTCGGTGCTGGTGTGATTGGGCTCTGGTTGCAGACTGCTGACTTCTCACTGTGTCCTCCCATGGCCGAGAGCATCTGGGAAGCAAGCGTTCTCATTATACTCTTATAAGAGAACTAATTCCATTCACGAGGGCCCCACCCTCACAACCTCATCTAATCCTAATTATTTCCCTAAGGCCTTACCTCCTAATATCATCATATTGGGTGTGCAGCCATTTCAAGTGTGAATTTGGGGTGGGGGACACATTCAATCCATAACAGCATCTGATCAAGGGATTAACTTTAGTGAAAGTAAGAAACTGGCTGTCCTTAGATCAGATTTACTAGGTCTATGGTGAACCCCAATGACCAGAAGCAGCTGGCTTTACGACACAGTGGAGTGGCCCATGGGATACACATCTCCTGAGCCAGCTGGAAGACAACAGTGCAAGAGCTTGGATTCCATTTGCACTTAGAACCAGCAATTCTGAAGGTGCCCATATATTTCTCATGAGTTTCTTTTCTGTTTACATGAGCCAGAGTTAGTTTCCATAGCTTGCAATTAAAACCACCAAGAATACAAAAATACCTCTCATTGTACTGTCTATTGTAATTCATTTGGTAAATTGCCTCCCTCCACAGATAGCTTGTGAACTCTAAAGGCTTTCACTATTTCGATTATTTTTTCCTATAGTACATGTGACTGCACTTTACACAGTGCAGGACTCAGGTTGCAAACTTGTAGATTCTGGGCTATATCTCAACTGCATGACTTTGATCAATTTTAAGTGGGTTTTATTTTTAAGATTTTATTTATTTTTAGAGAGGGGAATGGAGGGAATGAGGGAGAACACTGGTATTGCCCCTCTCACATCCCCAACTGGGTACCTGGTCCACAACCCAGGCATGTGCCCTGACCGGCAACTGAACTGGTCTCCTTTTGGTACTGCAGGCCAGTGCTCAGTCCACTGAACCACACCAGCCAGGGCTGAATGGTTTTTTTAAAAATTGACTTACTTCATTGCCAACATTTAAAAATCATGAGATTTCGCCCTGGTTGGTGTAGCTCAGTGGATTGAGCACGGGCTGTGAACTAAAGGTTCACTAGTTCGATTCCCAGTCAGGGCACATGCCTGGGTTGCAGGCCAGGTCCCCAGTGGGTGCCATGTGAGAGGCAACCACACATTGATGTTTCTTTCCCTCTCTCCTTCCCTTCCCCTCTCTCTAAAAATTAATAAAATCCTTTAAAAAAATAAAAATCACAAGATTTCATGTGCAATGCACATGTCCACCTTCTCTTGAAAAACTTGAAGATCTAGCCATTTTAGGCCCACATTGCCACAGATCCCCTCTTTAAATAAAACACAGGCACTTCCATTTGACAAAGTCCTCACCTCTCCCACTTTATTTACTTTCATTACTTAACTGGCCCCTTAAGGCATGTTTGTCACCCTTGGTGCTTCACCAAATTATATTGCATAAACTAATTTAGCAATTAATGCTTGTATTTTACATTTTCATTTCACATATGCACTCTATCCTTTTAACTAGATTGTGATAAGCCACTCAGTGGACAGAATCCTGTTAACTATATTTCTTTAAATCACTTTTTGGTGCTCACACATTTCAATAAATATTAATATTTTTATAAAACCTTTTTCTTATTCCTAGAGTTGACCTTGAGCACTGCGAGTCAAGTCCCCCTGGTTTGGTGTGGGGATGCCTAAAATGTCATCATCTTGATTCCTTCCCTCGGTGTCAGTCGAGACTTGATGACTTGTCAAATAAAGAAATTAAAATTATTTCCTAATACCACAAACATACATTTTGAAGTAGGTTTTAGGCTGGAGGTCACCCTTTTTGCTGCAAAGGAAAAATTGTAAAGTTCCAGCTGGGATACTGGGAAAAGTGGAAGGAGACAGCAATGTAGTTTGTTATAAAGTTTTTACGAGTTTTTTTTAGGATGGAAATTCTAATGCAAGGGGTCTGAGTGACTGTCCCTGGGGGTCTGGCAACCCGGGGCGTGGTTCCTGGCACAACCCGCAAGCAGTTGTTATTGGGATCAATTTCAGGACTCTCGGGGACCAAGCCTCTGGAGGTTCACATTTCTGGGGGCTAGTCTCCCCGCCCTCCCCAGTTCATTTCCCTCCATTGCTGGCACTGCCCTGTTCCCTCGGTTGCTAGAGCCGCCACCCCACTCCGGGATAATCTCTCTGGCTTTGTCAGCATCAGTTACCCCAAGGAGGCGAGAAGGGGATACATTTGGGGGCTTCCCTGCCCTCCTCTCCGAGCCGGGGAAGGAGGCCTTGCCGAGTAGGGCTCCAGTGTGGGCTCCGCCGAGATTAGCTGTCTCCCGAGGCTTTTGGTGCGGGGAACTTCGCGAGGGGCGGCGCCCCTCAGCTCCTCGCCGCCTGCGTGGTCCAGCCGCGCAGCTTAGAGGCGCCCCAAGTTCCCCAGCCTGCGACCCAGCGCTCCCGCGCTCCCCCTAGCGGCCGCCGTGCGGCTTCGCTCCGTCCCAAGCTCGTCGGCGGCGCAGCTCACGTGACCACGCTCCGGGCCTGCGGCCGCTGTCGGTTCCCCCAGTCACCGAGCGAGAGGGAAGAAACAAGATGGCGGCTGAAGGCGATCCGGAGTGGGGCCCTAGCAATTCGGATTGAGCCTTCTCCCTCCACCCGCTTCCGCCGGCCGGGCCCCTCCCGCCCGGCCCCGCGGGCCTCCCCACTCGGCCTCGGCGCCCCCCACCGCCACCCCTCCGCCCGCCCCTCCCCCTTCGCTTTCCCTTCTCCCCCCGCCTCGGCTCCGACATGAGGGGCCGGCGGGGCAGGCCGCCCAAGCAGCCCGCGGCTCCGGCTGCGGAGCGCTGCGCCCCGGCCCCGCCGCCGCCGCCGCCGCCGCCGCCCACGTCCGGACCCATCGGGGGGCTCCGCTCGCGGCACCGCGGCAGCAGCCGAGGCAGGTGGGCCGCCGCCCAGGCTGAGGTGGCGCCCAAGACGCGGCTGAGCTCGCCCAGGGGGGGCAGCAGCAGTAGCAGCCGAAGGAAGCCGCCGCCGCCGGCCCCCCCCAGCACCAGCGCCCCGGGCCGGGGGGGGCGAGGAGGCGGGGGCGGCAGGACGGGGGGCGGGGGCGGCGGCGGCGGCCACCTGGCCCGGACCACCCCGGCCCGGAGGGCCGTCAACAAAGTGGTGTACGATGACCACGAGAGCGAGGAGGAGGAGGAGGAGGAGGACATGGTCTCCGAGGAGGAGGAGGAGGACGGTGAAGCCGAGGAGACCCAGGATTCCGAGGACGACGAGGAAGATGAGATGGAAGAGGACGACGATGACTCCGATTATCCGGAGGAGATGGAAGACGATGACGACGCCAGTTACTGCACGGAAAGCAGCTTCAGGAGCCATAGCACCTATAGCAGCACTCCAGGTACCCACCCAGCCCAGTCGCTGCGGACTCTTTCCCCACCGCCTCTGCCCTCCCCCCCACGCTCACTCCCTTTCTGGTCTCCCACCCCTATTTCGCCCCAACCATGGGGAAACGCGACGGCACTTCAAGTGACAAAAAACTAGATTTACCAGAGGAAAGAGGCGCATTGTTCAAAATGGAGATTGCATTGTTGCAGTTTGCAGGCCACACACTCGCTCGCTCGCTTTCTCTGCCCCCAACCCCCTCATTTTCCTCTAGAACATTTGTGCCAGTGGAGGGTCTCCGTAAGGCAGGATCGAAACTTTGGCACACGTATCCATTGCATTCAGTTTTCTCCCCTTGTGTTGGTTTGGTTTTTTGGAATGTAAGAAGTCTCTTGTATTGTAGATCTCTCTGCATTTCTAATGTAGTTTCTTTTAGATTTTTATTATATGTTTGTCCTTTAAAGGGAACTGAGGATTTGTAGCACACACAGACACCAGGCTGCTCGCCCTCCCCTGGCGCTATGGTTTCAGAGTTGTGTTGAGGAAATGGATCAGTTTGGGTTAGTGGGGGAGCCTTATCTGGTCCTGTGTTTGTTTTTATTCTCGAGTGCTTATGGGCTCGTGCCATAGTTGCTGGTGAATGGCTGATTAAAAGGCAAGGCAGAAAACCAAACAAAACCACAACAAACGTGGTAATCCATCCGATTCACTGTCATTTTGGTAAAATCCAAAATAAAAGTAAGAAATCGTAGGAACATGCGTCTTATCGATCTGATCCCTTTGCTTTGCCTGAGAGGCGCAGTTTCCTGTCACCTGTTGCAGGAGATGTACAGTTGATCATGCGAACGTAATTGCTGAGGATGAACTCTGGGACCAACTTCTGAGTCACACAGCAAACTGTAGGGGATTTAATAAAAAGTGACTTTTTCTTCTTACCCCATTTTGAAGGATAAAAGTCTTTCTGGATCTGCGATGAATTTCCTCATGGTGATTACTTTCGCAGAAAGTTTTTCTAGGCTGGTGTATTTTTTTCTTTTAAGCACACACTTGCTCCTTTGTATTAAATACGTAGTTGCATTTAAGTAACTTGTGAAAAAAGCATACTTTGTAGCAATAGCCTACAAGATTTTTTGTTTCTGTTTGTTAATTTGGATTAACTAAATAAGAATACATTTTAAGAGCATTTGCACAGTCAAGTTTATGAAGAAATAAGATCTTAAGAAAGTAAGGTGTGTCACTTTTTTTTTAAAGACTAGGGTAGTAGAAGTGGCTAAATAAATTTAAATTTTTTCTTTTGTATAAATGCTTAAATACTTATTGGAGAGGTATGAGTATTAAACCAGCTAGAATCCTATTTAGATTGTCCTAACAGTAAATGAAAAAAAATAATAACTTTTGCCTGAGAGTAAAAACCATCCACCTGTCTTGGGTGGGTGGGGATTTGCTGGCTGGAGAATGAAGGGAATGAAGTAAATGTACAGTATTTATGTCTTGTATGTAGAGGGGACTAAGGCATTTCTTATTTCTTGCCAACTTGATGTCAGTACATCTTTTACAGTTAAAGTTTTTACTTGAAGATATCACATGTGGTCCTCTACCAAGAGTCTAGAATTGAAAGACCCACAGAGAATGAATTACACTATCCCAGGGGACGTTTTCAGAGGGTTGTTCAGCTAAGGTTAACTTCTCTTTGAAGGCCTTGAAAGTAATATTTAGGACTTTTTTTTTTTGGTCTGTACTTACAGACAGTAAAGGTTGGGAAGAAGGCTGTCAGGTCAATGTGTATATGTGTGTGTGCTTTGGAAAGAAATACATTCTAGGGTTGGTTTATATTCTGAAAGCACATGAAGAAATATGATTGGTAGATTTGAATCCTGTACTGTCAGCGCTAAAAGAAGAATATACTTTATTGGTAATTTAGATTAATATTTGTAGACTAGGATGTTGGCTTAAGTACTATCATAATAATTTCTTAATATAAGAAATAATAGATGATTCATCTCTTGAGTACTTTGAAGGTGATATAATTATTGATGCAAAGACATTGGCTGCTGTTAGTAGCTTAATTTTCTAAAGTTACAGATTTAAAAGGGTTTATTCACTGGAGATTAAATGTTTTCTTTTTATTGACAAAACATTTAAATGGGTTTGTAAGGTACTCACATGATACATTACTGTAGGGATGACAGCTTATTAGTATAAAATTAAAATGATCTAGTTTTGCTTAAGCTAGAGGTATTTGGCTAAATAAAGCTTTTATTTATATTTATTGTTAAAACTTGAAATTGTTTCAGCTTGTAGATTTTATGACATACTTTGCCGATATTTTGAGAAGGATTGTATAGAAAATCTATTTTGAATAGGCATTTGGTAAAGTTTTGACAGTGCCTTGAAATCAAGCATTTGCTAATTTAAAAAAATTAAATATAGTTGAAATAGAATGCTTAAACAAGTGGGATATGATTTCAGTGGATGTTAGGAAGTTTAGCATAGCTTCTGTTCTGCAGGATGGATTGGAAGAGGACAAGATAGATAGCTGGTTGGGGATATGGATGGGTTTTGTAGTGCTGGATGGAAGATTAGTTCAGGAAGTACTTCAGAGTTCTCCAGGCCTCAACAACATCAGAAGTGTAGACAGAAAGAGGAATGCATCACATATGCGTCTGTAAAAATGGTTGTGCTCTCAGTAGCAATAGAGGAATTCAAGGTTATAAAGGAAATTAATGAGATGTTTTCGGGTGTTAGTACCTGAAGAAGTTAAATATGAGAATTAAAAGAAAGAAAATGAGGGTCCCAAAGAGTTATTAAAAAGTTGGGCAACATGATCTTGAGAGCAGGTAGGTGTGTCTGAAGAATGCAATAATAAATAGCCTTATGTTCATGCTCATGTACTCTTCTCGTGTGTATTTGGAAATGGAGCTGTGTATTGAAATGTGTTGGTGCAGCAGGATTGGAGATGTTAGGGCCAGGATCTCGAATTTCTTCTGTTACATCCTTTTTTGCTCACTCCTCAGGACCCTGTATCCTCCCTGTGATGGCAGGTCCTATCAGGTGGGATGCAGGGGGTGAGAAGGTGCTGGTAGTGGTGGGGGACCTGTAATGTGGGTGACACAGACAGGACAAGCCCTGCTGCAGATACCCTCTTTGCATTGAACAATTTCTTCCCTCCCTGTTCTTTACCCAGGCTCCAGTCCCACTTCTTGAGAGATATCTTCCCAGGAGAAGTCTTCCCATAGTTCTGTTGCTTACCTTGGTCTCTCTTCTCTTTGAATGTTTGATTATGGCAATGATGGACTCAAGTTCCTAATTTAGCTCTGACCCTCATTCTTCTAATTTTTTTCATGCTCCTGATTCTTTAAAATGATAAGCCTCCAAAGGCAGAAAATTTTAAACAACTTACACTTCCAAATATTGAAAGTAAAATCATACAGAAAGAATTAAAATGCATATAACTATAACATTTTCTTTTTTATACTAGTCTATATCAAATTATTTTGCATATTTTTATTTTATATGTAATATTTTTAGATATTTTATTATTCAAGCATTTTTGGATTGCTGAATGATTAAAAATCAGTAATAGTAATAGCTAACATGTATTGAACATCTAAATTGCTGAATATTTTCAAGTAATTTAATAAAAGTTCCATTTTAAAACAGTTTTATTGAAATATAGCTACCATAAAATTCACTTTTTAAAGTGGTTTTTCAGTATATTCACAAAGTTGTGTAACCATCACCACTACCTAATTCCAGAACATTTTTATCACCCCTAAAAGAAATCTATACCATAGCAGACACTACTCCCTGTTTGCTCCCTCCCACTCTCCATACCCTGACAACCCCTACTTTCATTCTCTGTTGATATGTCTCTTCTGGACATTTTAGATAAATAGAATCATACAATATATGGCTTCTTCCACTTAATGTTTTGCTGCTGCAGACATTGGTTTGTAGGTTTTTGGCTGTGTGATATGTGTGTGTTTTAAA